ACAGATTGGTGTATGCAGAAAGAGAGACAAAATTTGATAGCTTGCGGAAGGTTTGAATGTGTGAGACCATTATCACTTTGGCAATTTTTGCAGAAGTAGCTCCACCATTTATAGGGATACTCAAGGCTTGCCCAATACTTTCTTTATAGGTAAGGAATTTATGTCCCAAGATCCCCTTGTCTAGATTTTTTTTTCATAAATACATGTGTGTGAATTGTTTGTCTATCAAAGGTGGTTGAGTAGTCCTTGACTTACGACCAGTTGGGGGTCGCGGCATTAAAAAGGTTGAGAACCACTGCTGTAGACAGAGACCTCTGCCCTGCTGGGCTGCCACTGTGAGGTCTACAAAACCTTTGGAGGTTCTCCAGTTCTGACCACTCACATGTTGGAGCACATGGTCCACATCTTAGGATTTGTCCCAACTGGCAAGATTCTGTCTGTAGGTGAACAATAAAGGAACTACTCAGAAGTAACTCCACGTGTCTTTCGTTGTTCTTTGGGCTTGACACATGTAGATCTTCTCCAAAGTCCATCCCATGACATCAGAATCTGGAGGAGTCTTCATACAGCCAAGGTGCTCCAAGATCTTTGGGTACAAGGGTACAATTAGTAGCTACACAAACGTATAGACCACTAACTGATCCTTTACATCGGGAGACAAGGGGGCGAGAACTGATCTGGTGCTTCTGAATGCTTCTCCCAGAGTGAGTAGAGTGAGGGAGTGGGTTGCAAGTCAAGCTAGAATCACCCACTGCAAACTTTAATTAGCTGTGTTGGACCAAGTGGGATCATTTGGCATGATGGATTTGGGCTGTGCTTATTTTTGGCTCTGGTGCACTGAAAAAAGATGTCTCCTCACTCTGAACACTAGGGTGGGAACTAATAACTTGGCCACACCTGAAATTCAGTGCCTGGCCCAGATCTGAGACTTTTAAAGCCTCCCTGGTTTTGTTCTTTGTCCATGAAAACGATCCGATCAGAATAAGGAAGCAAGCGGTACATCAGTCTGTCTGAGCCTTGCATTTGCTGCCTGGATAGCAATTCCTGACAGCTAATATTTCATTGAAAAGGGAGCCAGCTTCCTTCCCCCCACCCCACCCCATCTCTTTCTCTTTCTCTCTCTCTCTCTCTCTCTCTCTCTCTCCTGTTTATGAAGCTGAGGGTAAGTGTTTAATTAGTTGCCTAATTGCCTGGGTAATTGGTAGACATACTCAGCTCTCCAAGTAATCAGTCTGAACAGGCCTTGAAAATATCTGGCCCAGTATTCATTAGTGCAGTTAAATCGTTAAACAGTTACTGTGTTTGGTTTCTGACAAAGCCCGGCTGACAGCTGTGTTGGGCGCATCTCGCCGGCAGCATTTGACGTCCTCCTCCCTGGGATGGTGGGACAGAGAGGACCGCCCCACCAACTCTCTCGCAAGTGGGGCTGGGGGGCTAGGAGGGAGGGAGAAGAGGACAGATGGAGAAGCCTTGCTGGGCAGAAGAAGCAATGATATCTATGCTGATCCGGGGAAGATGTGGAGATGGTTCTACCATGGCAGTTGGTCTGGGCTGAGCTGTTCTCTTTGGTAGATTTCAGGAGAGCCATGTTCGAGATACTGAGATGTAGGGTGGTAGTTGAAATACCTCCAGATCTAAAGTAGAGGGGGAATCTCTTTTTAGGTAGGTCTCCTGGGGTCATCCGGTGAGTTGCAAGTTATGAAATAAATAGAGAAGAATTTCCATGCAGGTTGAGTGATTTGAAAAGTAGTGAATTCCCAATTCTCATTCAACTCAAGCAGACACAGAGGGAGGACATAAACTGCTCTACAGATTGACTTGCTAGTCTTGTTTTCCAGCTTTCTTCTCGCAGTTCTCTGCCTGATTCTTCTATATTTTTTTCCCCACAACAACTCAAGAAGTAGGTTGGGCTGAGGGAGAAGGATTGGCCCAGGACAGCCAGTAGATGAGGATGGACTTCAATTTGGCAGTCCTATCTTCATCCGACCCCTTAGATCAGTGGTCTTCAAACTTGGCCCTTTTATGACTTGTGGACTTAACTCCCAGAATTCCTCAACCAGCATGCCTGAGGAATTCAGGGAATTGAAGTCCACAAGTCATAAAAGGACCAAGTTTGAAGACTCCTGCCTTAGATTATAGTGTGTTCTCATTTCTTCATTATTGTTTTTACGGAAGATTTCTTTGTCTAAGCCAATAATTCAAGATGGCTGATCTGGGATTTATTTATTTTTTAAAGACTGCTTTCAGTCTTAAAAAGGTTGCTGAAAGTAGACAAGGAGAAGAAGACCAAAAAAGGAAAGGTGTCAGAACAACATTGAACAACACCCAAGCTAGAATATTGATTAAAGTGTTTAAAAAGCAATATAAATATTCTGCCCTTAGCAAAAAGTTGGCTGATGTTTGCATGCGTTACTTCTTTTTCTCCTTCAAACCGAAAACACACTGTTTAAAACTAACAAATCCAGCTAGCTCAAAACACACAGTCAACCCATGTTTTCACAGCAGGGTATTTGAAAAGAAGAAAAAGCTGCCATTTCAAAGGTAAACAAAGCCTCTCCAGGCAAAGGAACAGCAGCAATGTGAGTCCTACAACTAAGGAAGCCGGCTTTCCCAGGCTTACTGGCCTCCAGTGGTTCTGTGAAGCAGTTTCCCATTGCTCTTCATCTTTCCGGCCTACCAGCCATGCCCAGATGATCACCAGCTTGGCTACAAAGGACCAGAGAAGGGTGTATGGTGTAGAAGTGGCTTGTGTGGGCCCTCAACAGCACCATCAACATTCAGCATCATCTAAAGAATATTCTCCTAGTGTTGCCCCAAGGCAGATCGGTGGTAGTCCAGGCTTGGTTTCATAGATTCCTCAAGAAGATTGACTTGCACTTGAGGTCCACCATTTCTTGGGAGATGAGATCTCTTGTAGGAAGAAGTTAAGGAAGTGAAGGTCCATTATGCCATCTCAGTCTAACCCAATCAAATATTGTCTTCCCTGCAACCCATTTTTATTAGCTATTCTCTACCATCTGTCTGCTGGTAGACAGAACCTCTTGGTTCCTTTCTCTTGGCCTGCTAACTAATTTGGGAAGTCCAGCTAGGTGTTGGCTGACCAAGACACTTAAAATTGTGTTGAAGGATTCAACAATTTGCCTTGAGCTCAAAGCACTCCTTCAAAAGGAACATGGTCTCCATCAAGCTGCCTTCTCAAGTTCCAGAAGCTGGACTCCCACACCTGGCCAGCATGGAATGTGAGTGTAGGACTCACAAATGAGCCTCAGGAGATCTGGGCCAAAATATTGCCAGCAACCCTCCAGAACTGCTGTCAGTTGTGCTCCCAGGACACACACAAATCAATTGTTTCCAATCCTAAGACAAAGCGACAAGCTAACATCTAAGGGGTTTTCTCCACACATGTCTAGGGTTAAAGGTCAAAAGTCTTCCCCAAATCACAACATTGTCACTGGAGCAGGGGGTAGAGGTTGACACAGCAGGACTGGGAAATAAGAAAGACAAAGCTGGATGAGTTCCAGCACCTTGAAACTGCCTGCCAGATTCTTTGCAATTCCACCCACCAGAGAAGTATCATGCATGACTAGATTCAGCCTGCAGAAGACCCAACGTAAACAAACAAATGCCAATAGTGGATCTATCTGACCATTGGATCTGCAAGTCTCCATACCCAGACAAAGAAGCTGTTTAGAGGAGTTCATAACTCTGGGAATTCAGAGAATTATGGATGGAGCACATCTGGAGAACATCAGTTTGGAGAAAGCTGGAGAGTACATCCCTGCTCATGTGGCGAGAATTCTCCTGAACTTTTGAGATCAGGTTAAAAAAAAAGACCAGAAATAAGGTTAGTTGTGGGAATTTCCAGATGAGACTTCAGTTCCCATTATTCCTCAACATTAGCTTTGTTAGTGATGGTTTATAAGAGTTGTGTTTATACAGTTCTGACAAAAGCAATTCTGAATATAAATGAACCATTCCAATATTGAGTGTGAACTGTCCATCTATAGACCAAGGGTGTGCAACCTTGACAACTTTAAGACTTGTGAACGTCAACTCCCAGAATTCCCCAGCCAGCAAGGATTTAGGCAATACCACAGCTAGATGGATCAACCCTATTGTAGACGATGGTGTGTTTAAATGGACAGCCCCCGTTGAGACAATATTGAGTGTAGGCGCACCATTCAATACTGAATGTATTGGCCCATCCATAATAGAAGGAATATTGAACTACATGGACCAAAACTCTCATTTAATCTACACTTTTCGTAAGGACTGAACCAACATTGTTCATGGTTAGCTTTATTCCACCTAGATAAAAAAAAAAAAAACCTCCAGCAAGAAAATTACTTGAAACAGTTCCCCAAAGAGCTCCTTTAACTTGACTGGGGGGACCACTTGCTCAGAAGAAGCATGGATCAATCGTAGGTGATGATCCACGGCATGCAGCCTGCCTCTGCTCTGTAGCTGGACAGCATGAGGCTTTGTTCCAGTTCACATCTGTAAGACATTACACCTGGAGCCTGGCAGAGGCCAACGCTTTACAAGAAAGGGAAAGTCCCACAGGCCATGGCTGGGAGAGAGAAAGTTCCACTTGGGTGGCCCAAGTCTTTCTCCTTTGTCTTCGCCTTCTTCTGATCACCAGGCTAGTGACAAATTGGCTCTCTTTTCAGGGAGATGATGAAAAAGAAGCAAGTGAGATCCCTAAGAGGAAGTAGAGAAGCATGTTGACCAGCTCACTTTCTGATCCTGAGGGTCCCCAACAAGGATGCTCATGTATCCTCCTTCACAGAGGACAGCCTTTTATTTGGAGAGCTCGCAGAGGTACGGACACTGAATGAAGATCTCATAAGTCCACTTCAAGGCAGCTTCATGATTTGACCAATGTCCTTTGATTATTTATTTGCTTTTTTCCTCCTCCTCCTCCTCCTCTTCCTCCTCCTCCTCCTCCTCCTCCTCCTCCTCCTCCTCCTCCTCTCTCAAGGGAGATACAAAGTTCTTGGTTGTTGCTCTTCTGATGGCCTCAACCATTGTTAACTGATGTTGTTGTAGTGATATATTTATTTATTTATATCTCACACTTCTTAAACTGCCCATCTCCCTCAGGCTCTGGGTGGTGGAGTATTACTACTCTAGAGCATTACAACTCTAAACAACTCATATTGGAAGTGAGGAAGATGATCTAGATAGGGATATGTCAATCTATTGTCTGGACAAAAGGAGTTATGGGCAAAAAGCCCATAATTTAGTCCGGCAAGATTCTGTCCATGAGTGTAAGCAAACAGAGTCTTGGGCTTGGACCTGGGCTTGTGCATTGTGAACTGGGCCTTTCCGGTATGAACTCTGACTTACTTGATTAGCAACAACTACAGACCAGTCTGCTCTGGATTAATTGGGAAACCAGTTTCACGCTGATTCTTCTAGGTAAAGGCCTTCTTCTGGCCTGGGTTGCTTCTCTTGGCCCAACACGATCCAGTTTTTGATCCAGCTGCTTTTCTGCCTGAGCCCCGCAGTCAGTGTGGGTGTTAATCATGGGCTCAAGTTTTCCAGACAGCCCATGTCCACCACACCACCAATGCCCAGCAGATTTGTTGTCTCAGCTTGTATTTGTTGGTTCAGTGCTTGCTAGGTTTTAGGAAGCTGTTAGAAGCCTAAAGATCCAGCTCTGTGTTAACATGTTTGCAGCAATTATCCTGCCCCTGGTGCAAACCTTTTGCATATTCATCTGAGAAAGACTTGCTGTTTGCCTGCTGCTGGGGCTACTTTCAAGGAAGAACCCACAGACTAATGTGGGCTCCCCCCTTCTGCAAATCTCACCTTGCTACTCAGAGTGTAGTAACTGCAGCTAAGAGGGCTTTGTCTCCATCTCCATTGGAACTGGTTGAAGGAACGAAGCGTCAGTGGTGTTAGAAAAATGGAGGAGGCTTCTAAAATCAAGGGTGTGCAAAGAAGGACCTTTCTGGGTGCGCACTGACTTCCTTCCTGTCTTTACTTCTCGGTCGGACGGTTTTCCCTTGGGACAGAGGGTGTTAGGTGTGCAAGCATGTACAACTCAGTGAAAAGAACTTAAACCAGGGGAGAATTTCCAACCGAGGCACTTTAGCTACTCTCTCCCCTGCTGATTCCTTCACTTTAAAAAAAAAATGAAAAAGAAAAAGGGAAAATAATTACTTCTAAGGCTCTAACCTTTCCAGCAAGTGACTTTGTAATAAATAATCCACATGTCCCTTCTGTGCAATCCATCAGCGGGAACGCCTAATTACTTTAGACTCACTTTGAAAACCCTTCCAGTGCCAGTTTCAAATAAATAAAAAATTAACATGGAAACTCTCCAGCGCAGAGCCAGGAGAAAGGAAGGGACGGGGGAGTTTCATCCAATCTCTCCTTCTAGACTGGAGGGCCTGATTGCTGAGATTGCTCACAATCTAATAATGACCCGGCTGAAGATGTCCATGGAAGGTTTCAACACAAAGGTTGGGAGGGAGTAGAAGAAAGTGATGGATCTTGAAACCCTTGGGGCTTGGGAGAATTGACTTGGCTCTCAGAAGGGACTCAGACTCCTTGTTGTGAGCAAATTCCGCTGATGGAGAGAAGGGTCTCCTATCAACCACCTCCTTTCCTTCTCAGAGCGATTGCGGTCCTACCTTCTGGCTTTGCACCATCGTGCTACGTTTGGGAGGGCTGCCAACCCACTTCAAAGTCCATGGTGCTTCTTCTGCTTTGGCCATCTCACATAGCCCATCCTCTTCTCCTTCTGTGTCTGCACTGCAGGACAAAGAGAGCAAGAAACTAGATTTTAAAAAAAAGGTGGAGAAAGGAATGGGAGGGGTGGGCTGGGGGGGGGGAAACAGCTCTCTGAAGTCCCAGTAACAATAAGATTTGATTTCACTGTGCGCCGGGGGACAATAAATACCTTCCAAACCTCCACAGGAGAATTAATTAAACGAATTTTGCTCTGCCAATTGTTTGTTATTTTTGCTGACCTCACCATGTGGATTAATATTTAATTAGCCTTTAGGAGAAGTGGAAAGCACTTATTAACCTGCTCTGTCAACCTGTCAGAGCTAAAGGTGGGATGCTGGGAACATTTCTGGACAAAAGGCCTTATGAAGGGAGAGGGCAGGGGAATTCTCGCCTGCTCAGGAACTCGGCTGGTTTGGGAAGTGGATGTGAAATTCCTGGTTCTTCTCTTTCCCTTCTTCTGGTGGCTTTGCATCGCTTTGACCTCCTTCTTTGGAGGCCACATCCAAGGACAGGAAAGCAGCAGTCCAGGAGAGATGCTTCTCTTTTTCTTCTTAAAGAATGGCCCAGAACAGTATTTCCAAACTGTTTTCCTGGGAGAAGCAAGTTCTTCTCATTTTAATTTTCGGCAGTTTGAGGATCCTTCCTCAACTCAAACTGGTTGCTTGTAGCTCAAGCACACTTTCACAGCCATCCCACTCATATCTCAACACACAGTTCCTCAACCTAATCAATCCATTGAATCTAATCATGGAAAGTAGCAACCTGGAATTAAGGAGAAACTTCCTGGCAGTGAGAACAATTAACCAGAGGAACAGAAGTTGCCTTCGGAAGTCGTGGGTGCTTCATCACTGGAGGTTTTTAAGAAGAGATTGGACAGCCACTTGTCTGAAGTGGTATAAGGTCTCCTGCTTGAGCAGGACTAGAGCAGGGGTCCCCAACCCCAGGTCCATGGACCGGTACTGAGCTGCGGCATGCCAGCAACTGGTCCGCACAAACAAGCAAAGCCCCATCCGTGGCAGCACACAAAACCACACACATTCCAGTCCGCGGAAAAACCTTTCTCCATAGAACCGGTCCCTGGTGCTCAAAAGGTTGGAAACCTCTGGACTAGAAGACCTCCAAGATCCCTTCCAGCTCTATTCTGATTGAACCTTGGCAACTTGAAGATGAGTGGAGTTCAAATCCCAGAATTCCTCAGCCAGTATGGAGAAATCCATGGCATGTTCTCAGCCTCTCCAGCTGACCACGGGTTTCCAATCCTCGCTAAGAGCGAGGGTTGAAAAAGGCAGCCATCACTGCTCCAATCTTGAACCATGTCTCACCTCCAGTGTGTCCCATCTGAGGCTAAAGTGAGGGATGAGTCTTGCCAACTTTATTTATTTATTCATTCATTCATTTATTTATTTATTTATTTATTTATTTATTTATGAGACTTATATACCGCTTTAAGTGCAAGCACTCTCTAAGCGGTGTACACCAATAAGCAATGTATATATATATTTGCACTGCCCCCAACAATCTGGGTCCTCATAGACTTTGGTCTATGAACTGGCCAGTGAGGAATTCAACCAACATGGCCTCCAATCATTGGCTTCATGGAGCCATTTAGACTCAGTGGGATTTTGTAAAAATGCTCAAATTGCCTTGGAAGATCCCAGGTCAACCCTCCTCCTTCTTAAGATGGAGGATGAGGAAAAAGGGGATTAATGAAGTCAGCAAACCTTTTCCATTTTGTTTTTAAATTCCCCAGCCAAAGGAACCAGGAGCACCCATTGATAGCTGCTGCTTCTGTCACCGTTCTGGTGCTTTGTTCTTCTTCGGCATTCCTGATAGGAGCAGGAGAGATCCTGCATCTAGAAGACAAGAAATGGGAAGTCTTAAAAAAAAAAAAAAAGAAAACTCTGCAATGCGTGTATCAAACTTTAATAACTACCTAAATATTGCTGCATCCTTTGTTTGCTGATTCAGTGCAGCATCAAGTCAATAAACAGCCTGTGCTTAGTACATCTATCTTTGATCTCTCATGACAAAATTGGAGTTTCAGGATCTTTGGGAAGGCTTCATCCATTTTGCACCCATTCTGGGAAGTTGTGGAGATGCCTGAATGCAAAAATTTGAGTTATCCCTTCCTTCAAGATGGACGTGAATTTTAGCCAGAATTGTGTAAGGTATCTGAATGCTTATTGTTTCTCGACCTCGGCAGATTGAAAATGGGTGGACTTCAACTTCCAGAATTCTCCAGCCAGCATGATGATTAGGGAATTCTGGGAGTGAAGATCCATGCATCTTCAAGCATGCTAGCTAGGGAATTCTGGGAGTTGAAGTCCACACCTCTTAAAGGTTGAGAAACACTGTTCTAAAGACTTGGGATATATACATCAGTCTTCATCCACTTAGAATAATTGATTCAATTTGGAGATCGCTCCAATTGAATAATTGATTTAATTTGGCTGCTGGAATCAAATCAGACCCTCCGATGCAGATTTCCGAAACCGTTTGGGTGGTAGGCAAGACATTTCTGCACATGTTCAGACACTTTCAAATCCTCCCAATCAAGTCCAAGGCATCGGATTGGAGTTGACAGTTTGATTCAACTTTCCCGTTTGATTTGGAAAGTGGTTTTGATCCGGACGGTCGATCAGACAGCTTTCAAATCAGAGCTTTGCACAATCCTAATAAGGGCTCAGGAAGGGTGGAAATCAATCATCAGCTTTGCAAAGCTTGGTGGCCACAGACGGTTTCTCATCCCACACCTTTTGTTATTGTGTTGTTTTTTTTTTATTTTCCTATCATTTAACCGCTGTGATTCTTTTATGCTGTTCACCTGGGGCTCCCTTACATGCCTCCTAGGAAGCAATCACATCAATTAGGGAGAAGTTGATGACAAGAGTAGTAAACAGTTCATTAAAAGAAGGTGTATTTTCACGTGACATCTTGGGAAACATAATCTCATCAGAGAGAGAAGGAGAAAGAGAGAAAGAGAGAGAGAGAGAGAGAGAGAGAGAGAAAGGGAGAGAGGGAGGGGAGAATGAGAGAATGAGAGAGAAAAGGGGAGAGCAAATGAGAGAGAGAAAGGGAGAGACAGAGAACAAGAGAGAGAACGAGAGAATGAGAGAGAAAAGGAGAGAGAATGAGAGCAAGAAAGGGAGAGAAAGAGAATCCCAAAGACGCTTTTTCAAGAGGTAACTGGACAAGAAAGTCCAGCTGCCTCGTGAAAAAGTGTCTTTGGGATACTATGACCTTGATGACTGAGAATCTCCATAGAGAGAAAGAGAGCGAGAATGAAAGAGAATGAGAGAAAGGAATGTGTGTGTGTGAGAGAGAGAGAGACAGAGAGAGAGAAAGACACAGAGAGAAAGACACAGAGAATGAGAAAAGGAGAACAAATAAAGTAAAAAAGGGAGAGAGAATGAGAGAAAGAGAGAGAAAGAAAGAGAATGAGAAAGAGAAAGAGAAAGGGAGGGGGAAGGAGGGAGAAAGAAAAAGGAAGGGAGAATTTGAGAATGGAGGGAGATGCAAGCAACTTTTACTCCCTAATGGGCTCGTATTAAAGCAGAGCTTGGAATGGGCTAAGGTGGCTGAAAAGGAGAGATTCACGCTCAAATGGCACCGTTTTCTTTGGACTGCGGTTCTGTCCATCATCTGGATGGAAAAGTGGACTCTCTCCAACCCACCCACCAAGGCCAGGCCCAGGCCTGAGCGCGCAGGGCTGCCAGCTGCCCTATCAGCAGCTCCTCAATGGTGGGCAAGGAAGGTCAACGACAGCTTTTTGTCAAGTTTGGGTCGCATGTCATTATCCCCATTATTGAGAGGCATCTCTCATTATTTCTCTTTTTGTCTAACAGAGGGAAAAAAGAAAGAAAAGAAAAGAAATTAAAATCCTCCTGAGTTTTATTAAACATGGATGCTGGTAGGTAATTAAATTGCAATTTAATTAAATCCGCCCGCTAAATCCACCTAAGCTTAACGCTTTCTCTCCGGCTGTCCCTCAACAAAACACTGAGCTTTGGAAAGGGTGACCATCACCTTCTCCTTCTTGCCTTCTCTTGGGGGGGGGGACATGGTGGGGACCCTCAGAGAGATCTGCTTCTAATTGCATTCAAGCATTCACAAAAACCCAACCTTGCCAAGGAGAACCACCAAGGTTCTGAGGTCCAGCAGCTAAGCACTGCTATATTTGAGGAGCTGCCACAAAGAAGAGGGGGTCAACCTATTTTCCAAAGCACCAGAGGGCCGGACAAGAAACAATAGGTGGAAAGAGAAATAGTCATCAAATGATCAAGAAGAGAAATAGTCATCCAGATTTTTGCACACACACACACCCAGGAGGGTCAGACTGCTATCTTAGGAGTACTGTTGATCTTCTCTTCAACTATAGAGTTTCTCCAACATGCTTAATGTCCTTCCCGTGAAAGATATGGCGGACAATATCACCGTAGTTGTTCTTTTCACTATCCTGCTGACCACCTCTAATGGTGGCTAGATTAGGGTTAGGCACGCTGGCTGAGGACTTCTGGGAGTTGAAGTCCACAAGTCATCAAAGGGCCAGGTTTGAAGACCCCTGTTCTTGATGAACAGAGAGGCACCCTTTTTTCCTGCCAGATCAGCCCCCAGGAATGGAGAAACTGAAGGAGACAGAGAGGGAGGAGATGAAAAGCATCTGTGAAATGATTCTTCTCTTTCAAATGGACGTTGGAGTCTCTTAGCCCACAGGAGTTAAACTATCCAATCTGTTGTTATTTGAGTTACCATTCCTTCCCGCCTCGTTCCTTTAAAACCAGGGATCAATCTTCAGTTTTATAAGCACAGAATGATGGAACAGCTACCCCAGCCCTGCAGACATTGCTGGAAGCAGGGGGAAAAAAAGCCCCACAAATGATTTTGTCTTATATATTTGGCTAAGGTGCAGGTAAAGAAAGAAAAATGAACCAGTCCAATAATGAATTCTTTTCTTGGGTCCCAGAACATCACAATGATTGATATTTATAGATTTTTTTTTCTTCTTTCCTTTTTTTTTAAAAAAAATGAAAAGAAAAGCTCTTTGCTGGGAGCTAAGCGGTGCGTGATATTGTCTAACTCCTGAATCCTGCTCAAGTTTATGTTGTGAGGTGTTCCAGCTATAGGTTTAGCAGCCCCCCCCCTCCCGCCCGCCTGTTTCAAGCTGACACAAATAGTGGTTAGCCTGGCAAATACCAAAGAGAGTTGTTTGTCTGAAACTCATAGGGCCCCATCCAAGTTCAGCTCATTCAGAAACAGCAAATGGGTTTGCTTTTTCATATCAGATCAAATTTTATTTCTTTTAGCTACTGGTGTGGCAATAAAGTCCTTCCTTCCTTCCTTCCTTCCTTCCTTCCTTCCTTCCTTCCTTCCTTCCTTCCTTCCTTCCTTTTTCTTTCTCTTTCTTTCTTTCTTTCTTTCTTTCTTTCTTTCTTTCTTTCTTTCTTTCTTTCCCACCAAAATGATCCACATCCATTACGTAGGAGGCTGGGTTGCTCTCCACACCATGAAAAACTTTGCAAGCCTTTTCAGTACCAAAGAAAAGAAAGGGGGGAAAAAAGCAACAAACAAACAAAAAGTAAAGCTCTCAAATTTTGATCATCTGCCTTCTAATTAGAACAAATTACAAGTGGTTGGAAGGGTTGGGGTTTTTTTGTGGGTTTATTATTATTTTAAGTGTGATTTTTGCACTTAATTTGTGATGGATTTCAAAGGCTCATTATATTTCTGTGAATCTTGGGTCTCTCGCCTTGGGCACTTTCTCAACTGTGTGTGTCTAGCTACATATATCACACAACCCCCTAACCCCAATAAATTAAATAATTAGCTTGCAGGTGAAAAGCGGAAGTTATCCCAACACGGACAAGTGAGCACAGAGGCCAAAGTGGCCCAGACCCGCTTGATTCACACGCTTTTAACAGCTTTGAAAGTCAACAATTGCCCCCTTAACTGGGCGCCCCTCCCAAGGACTCATCTGGTAATTCTATCACACACACAAAACACACAGTAGGGTCTCTTCTCCCTGGCTGCCTTTTCCCAGAACCTTTGGGAGAAATTTTTGCTTTCTCCCTGGTGGGGGTTGAGATGGCTGGAGGGAGATTTCCCCCCCCCCCCGTTTTGAAAGCTATCTTAAACCATCTGCAGGGCTTGCATGTGTTTAATTTAATTTGAATTAAATGAAGTAGAAGGCAAGAAAGTTTGAGGATGAAGATCCTAAGCCAGGTAGTCCTCCATCTTACTAGAGAACACACGTGGAAATTCTTTTTAATTAGGGTAATTTAAGCATCTTCCCCTCCCATAGATGAAGAAGGGGTCAATTGGGGAAAATTGTGTTGAAACAAAAATAGAATAAAAGAATGTCAAATCAAATACCCAGCAGAATTGCAGCGGGTCCTGGAAAGAGAAAGAGAAAGAGAGGAGGGGAGGGGAAGGGAAGGGAAGATGGCAATCTTAATTGCATCCTTAATCAAGAAGGCTCCAGAGGGTCAAAGTCAAACTTTTATCAGCTAACACTCTATAGCAGTGGTTCTCAACCTTTTTAATGCCGAGACCCCCAACTGGTCGTAAGTCGAGGACTACTCAACTGGTGCAGCACCGTTTGCAGAATGGGACTTTTGGCGGGCTCAGCAGGGCAGAGACAGCCTGGACAATTCCTATTGGCTTTTGAAAGCCAATAGAATTAGACTCTATTCAAGAGAGTCTATTCTATTGGCTTTCAAAAGCCGATAGAATAAAAGGGAGGAGCACAGCTAAAGAAAAGGGGGGGGGGAATGGCAGACTGCATTGTTTGGCGACCCCCGTGAAATGATCGTGCTACCCCAAATGGGGTCTCGACCGACAGGTTGAGAACCACTGC